AAAACCTAAATTGGAAGTCGGAAATATCTCACGTTGCAAGTAAAGTTGCGAAGTCAATCGGTATAATATCTAGATGCAGCTTCTTTCTTCCTAAATCGTCTTTACGTATGCTCTACTATTCCTTAATTTATCCTTATTTTTACTACTGCAATATCGTTTGGGCTTCGACCTATAAAACTAATCTCCGCCGCCTTGTTATCCTGCAAAAGCGCATTATTAGAATTATTAATAAATCACATTTTAATGCTCATACTGACCCCATCTTTAAGGACCTCGGTATACTAAAATTTAATGATATCCATTTGCTTCAACTGGGCCAATTTATGTATTCTTGCAAAATTCATTCTTACCTCCAAAGTTTAATAACAATTTCTCTCAAAGCAATCAATTCCACTCTTACAGTACAAGAAATTCCCAGGCCTACCGTCTACCGTATTGTCGTACAAACACGAAGAAGTTCTCGCCCTTTTTCAAGGGCCTAAGTTTTTAATTCACTTGACAACAAGATCATCAACTCTCAATCCCTCTCCTCTTTTTAAGAAAAAAACTGAAGATTAAATTATTGAGTAAGTATGAAAACAGTTTATAAATCTTTCCATCTTCGACTTTTCGCCTTCTTCTCTTCAATTGATGTGACACAGCTCTAGCTCATAGTTCGAGGAGGCCTAACCTCTCATAAGCTCCTATAGTTTCTGTTAGGTCTCCTCGCCACTTCTTTTTTTTTTTTTCTTCTTCTTTTCCTATATTTTTTGTAATTAGTGTGGCAAATAAAATAAAAAATAAAATAAAAAATATGTTTTCAGCCTACATGTATCATGAAAAAATCTTTGTTCCTGCGTTTTTAAGGTCTCTGTTGATCACTGACCTATTTGATAACCTTGAGTCTGGAAAAAGAAATTATTGTTTTGGAAAAAAGTCTGGAAAAGTCTTGAATTTATTTTCTGGTATCTGTGCAAAGCATTAACGGTAGTTTTAAAAAAAAGGATCAGCTAGGGATTTTAGGAAGTAAAGCAGGAATGGTGAAACAGACCGAAAAGGACTGTTGCCAGGCCTGTCCCATTGGTTGCTTGGAGAACTTCGATGCAAACGCAGGCGTCTAGAGGCTTAGAATCACGTTTACGATTATTAACGCCATTTCGAGACATGTTGCTAAGCTTTCTCTTTATTTATCATTTAATGTTTATCTTTCCTACTCAAAAGAAAAGACATTCATGCCAGGTTTATCCCTAAGGATAATTTCCTCACTTTTTATCTGTTGATTTCCTAACTTGACTAATTGTAATACTTGAACCTGATGTTTCGACGTTGCCGTCAACCATGGTAATTCTACGATTCCGAATCGACAGGAGGGATCGTGGCAGTAACTCTTATGAGACCAATTTTATGGATTGTAGTAGTCGTTGAGAAGGAAATCAAGAGATTTAGAGTCGCGTTTACGGCAAAAGGCTAGCCTGCGATCATGCCCGGCCCTCTCCCTGTATCTCGGGAGGAGGGCATGAGACATTTCTTTTACAGATCACATGCAAAAAGCCAGAATCTGGACTTTTTTCCGATTGAATAGGATGATTTTCGCTGTTCCGATTGGCCAAAATGCCGCCATCCGTTAGTTGTTGTTGATTTCAGTCTGCACTTTTGCTTGTTGCGTATAAATGAGCAGTCAATACACACGCGAGTTCGTTATGCGTTATGAAATTTATGTCGGCTCAGTTTTCTTGAATTTGAAGAATGTCTAAATAGAAATTTCATGCATTGAAATATTTTCCATCTCATCGTATACTTAAAAGTTGCAGTCAAAAATTCACCGATCATTTGAATGCAATTTGATATAGGGGAAAAAGTTACAGAAGCGACAAACGGGTTCACTTTTCAAATAATGACTAATAATCAATTCATGAATGGAATCTTGACCTGGTTTGACGGTAATTCCTCCTTCGGAAACCTGCGCATTATTCTAAGCGATCTTCGTTTTCACAACACCTTTCAGTTCGTGAAAAATGGTGCTTCAGCCTAATTTTTCTTCACTGCTTTCGGCTCAAAACGAAGTCAACGAGATTTGTATAGGTAATAGCATGATTTGTAGTGATATTTGGCATAAATACCACGGGTGATATTTCGAAACTGTTATACATATTATACATATTGTTATACATTTTATTTGAGACAATTTGAAATACCTCAAGTGGCATTTATGCCAAATATCTGGTACAAATCATGCTATTATTTGTTTATACTACTACCAGCAAAAGGTTTGTAATTTCCAACTGTAGGTATTTCAAATTAAGCTGAAATACCCCTGCTCTAAGCCGATCAAATTGCAGAAATTTCTCATAAAGGGAGTATATAATATCAGTAAATTCTTTATTATTTGCCGCTGTTAAATGAAGGTACAACAGCTCCATCACAAAAAATAAACATTAATTTAAAAACTTTTTTAGGAAGCGCCATCTGAACATGGACATACTTAAAAATTCTCTTTTCCCTAAAATTGATTTCAAAAGAGACATTATTCCCGCCAAAATTTGATTCGCGTTTGATAAACGCAAAGAAGCAAAAAAAAAAATAAAGCCTGATCTCAGGTTAGAAAACGGTAAGCATTAGACCCAAGGCGACATTTCCTTAAAGCTACAAAACTTTGCAAAATAACTTTTTTGTGTAGATACAACAAGTGAATCGCCTTCTGACGAAAACTGAGCAAGAGTGGCGTAGTGGTGAGGATACTTGCGTTCCTAGCGCCCCCTAGGGGGAATGGCCTTTATGGGGAGGCTCCGACCGAAAGGGGCTACGTTTGTTGTTGGTTCTCTTCCTTACCGAGAAGTTTTTCTCTGGGTGCTCCGGTTTTCCCCTCTCTCCAAAAACCAACCTTTCCAAATTCTAAATCGATGCGCAACGCACTGACACTTCTAAGCGAATTCTTAACAACTTCTTAGTGCTCCGTGGGAAAACAAATTACAAATTACAATTATTATTGTTTTTTAAGACTGATACCTTGGTCACGTACAAATTGACGTTGCCGTTTTCTCTCTGATATTATAGCAAATATTTTTTGTTAAAGTGCAAATAGATAATTAAGGATAAACACTAGTGGTCTAAATAACGAAAGGCTCAATAAAGTTTCGTCGTTGAATTTGTTATGTCAATTACGCTTTATTCTTAAAAACCTGGTGAAATGACATATATACAGATTACAATCAAACCTCCATGTGCGGCCTTCTCGGATACGCGACACGCTGTTCGAACTACTAAAATTAGTTTTCCTACTCAGAGTGCTTTTCTACTGAAAACTGGACCACCAAATCTTTGTATTTTAGGTGGATACTTAAAACAAGTACTACTGTTCTATACTAACATACTAACCTATGCTCAGGCATGAACATTATAAAATGAAATAACCTTTACTTTACAACTGGGCTAGTTTGAAGTTAGGACAAATTGGTTTCGCTAGGCTTTTATTTGACTTAATTGAGTCGTCAAACCTTATTTCATAATGCAAGGTTGCAAAACTACTGCTTCTATGTTCACAAAAAGATTGGCTCTAAAATATATACAATTCTACTAAACTATAAACCTTGCAATGTTGTTTGCATTGTAATAAAACTTCAATTTGCGATAAAAAAATCTCGTTTACATAAAAAGTATTTTTTATATGTAGCCTTAGGGACTAATTAAGGAAGCAGGGTTTTTTTGCAAATTACCTAAAAAGACAGGGAAATTAGCTAATCCTTACGTTATTCGTGTCACAATTACAGTTTTATCATTGTCCGAGCTACCGATGTACACTTCTACATGTACAAAGCTGGTGATTTGAGCTTTTCAAGACATTTTAGAGATTAGAGTACTCAAGGTACCTACACACACACAAAATAAGATTAGTGGGAAAAATAATTAAGCCGGCAAAGATAAACCGCTGTGCCAAGCAAGTCAGTTCTCTTTCACAGTAATTCTTTTAATCAATGTTCGTATGCTGCAGAGATTGATCCTTTACATTATCCGCCAGGGACTACCTCATTGGAATTCTGCGGAAGGGCTGTTTCGTTATTCCATGGTGTGTCGTTAGTGTAATACCTGCAACAGTAATGTATAAGAAACATAAAAATTAATAAAACACATCTACTCAACACAAAAGACTCCAGCTGGGCTAAGTGGCATTTAGGTTCATTTTACATGGAGGAGGGATCCTCCGGCCTTATCGTGGCGGAAGAGGTTTACTTATTTGAGTTTATCTCACCGCTAAAACTTTCCAATCAATTGGCATCACAAATGAAATGTAGGGTGCACAGCTAAAATAGGTTTGAAACTTCTTGCCTTGATGACCTATGGAATCTCGGTCTTCCCTCTTTGGTCCAAGTTTAGAACCAGTGTACTTCTGTAATTCAGTCAGTGTCAGCGAAAAGCCCTCTAGTTACGGTCAAGACTCCATACACAGTCCATAATTTGTACTTTGCAGTGTTTTCGATCAATTCTGAGATCTAGATCTCCGCCATAATATTTTTGATCCGATTATCTTTATATCAAACAAAAACCTTCCCTGGGCTGTTTGGTTCGGATTCATAACTGGAATTCCCTTCCTATTATATTCAGAAAGAAAAAAGTTTGTCACCAAACCCTCACGATCATATTGAACCGTAGCAAATAAAAGAATATTGAATTATTTGTGCCTCATATATCAGAAAAGAGAGAAAAGAATTAAATCATTCTGTGTTGTTGTACGGATTCGGGGCTTAGTGTTTTTTTTTTTTTTTTCAAATGCAAAGTCCCGCATATGCACGGGTTGACTGATAAGTACAGAGGTGTGGTCGAATGTTAAAAAGCGGTTAATTGATATTTTACCTCAGTCATAGTAAAAGCTAACTTCAGTTGTAGTCAATAATGTGGCTTTTAAGGGTAAATACTGCTTTCTATTTGGTACTTAAAAGTAACAAATGCACCCAAGTTGATAAAACTGTAATACAAAAAGACCTGACAGACTTCCTATGGCTCTAATTGTCAGAAAACAATTACCTTCACTTTTCTTCACCAAAGTGAAATGACACGTCATCCCCAATCAGCATGAAAGGTGCCCACTGCCTCACTTCTGAGAAACCGTTATTTCGCATCCACTTCATGGCCCGGTGAAGACTTTCGCTTGCACTTTTCCCTTGGACAAGGTTTTCGTAGAATCTTCCCATGAACTCCTCTGTTGCTCTGTCTTGTAAGGCCCACAATGCCACCAACACTGAGCGTGCACCCGATCCTAAGAATGCTCGAGCGATTCCAACAACGCCCTCTGTTTTGATCTGTCCACGTGCGGTATGGCAACAACTAAGGACCACCAGTTTGGCTGACAGTCTAACTTGTGAAATGTCGGTCATTGACAGTAAGTAGTCTGCTTCGTGTGGAAACTCCACTGTGGAGTCAGCAGGGGTAAGAGCAATTTCTCCTCTTTCGGCATCACCATGAGCAGCGAAATGTACGAGGCTCACTGAGGGTATTCTCTGAAGAACCGCCTCCTTTGTTGCTTGCTCTCCTATTAAAAGGTGAGATTCAGGTAGTAGTCTCGCAATCATCTCTGCTTCCCCTTTCGCGCCAGGTAATGGACAGAGATACCTTAACACTCCCTTGAAATACACATCCGTCACTCTTGGCTCACCCACAATCAATGCACCAGTTTCGCTGTGAGAGTCGGCTGGACTGTCCAGAATGAGCTTGAGAGTCGTCAAAGAAGGGACAATTCGTATCCTGAAAGAATCTGATAAATAGCGGCTACTTTCATCGTGTAATGCTGCAAACGGAACTTGGAAGAAGCAGCGATCAGGAACAACAATGATTTCAGATCCTTCTAGCAAGTCACTCACGGGAGCAATCAACATGTTGTAAACCTGAAAAAGTGTTGGCGGTTCAGGGTCCGTGTATACTTCTCCCTCATCTAAAAGAGGACGCAAGGTTGAGAGACTATCTTCCAGATTTGATTCGTTTGTAAGTTGGTTGGCGAATGAAGAGAAGAGTGATCGGTCTTCGCATTGCTCTTGAGGTAAAACGTGAAATTTTCTTAATAAGCTTTCGTTTCCAAACAGGTCACGTACACAGATTTTGCCATGCTTGCTAACATAGCTTTCACAAAGTTTCGTTCTTCGGAAAGCTACCGGTTTGCTTTGTTTCAAAACCCACAAAAATATATTGTCTTTGTGGTAGGAGATGTATAGGCAGGTGCTGTTGCCATTTTTCTTAATTACTTCCGCGATGCCAACAAACGATTGTGGGTTGATGGATATTTCTTTTTCAATGGAGTAGCGATTTGACATAAGTTCTGCTAGAGCTCTGGCCCGTCCAAGTTCAGCAACGTGTAAAGCTTCATAGGGTTTCCCACAAGAACAACTCAATGAACAAAACAGCCGATAGGGAGACGCGTTCTTGTCAAAAAATGATATATTGTGGCTATCTTTGCTTCCTAGAGAAGTAAGCATTTTCTCGTAAATTTGAATGCTTGACCAGAGATCCGATAAGGCTTGAGATGTGTTTCCTACCTTAAGGTAGCGAGACGGTTCTCCGTCTTTGTCGCCAATTTCTGTGTTGGTGGTAAGTGCTGTATGGAGATTTTCTTCAGCCTTGCCATGTTCTCCTACATGTACAAACAGAGCTCCTAGGTTTCTGTAGCATAACCCTTCTCCGTTTCTGTCGCCAATTTCTCTGTTGATGGTAAGTTCTTTATGAAGATATTCTTCAGCCTTGGCATATTCTCCGACAGAATAAAACACATTTCCTAGGTTTCCGTAGCATGTCGCTTCTCCCTTTCTGTCGCCAATTTCTGTGTTGATGGTAAGTGCTTTATGAAGATATTCTTCAGCCTTGGCATATTCTCCGACAGATCGAAACACATTTCCTAGGTTTCCGTAGCATGTCGCTTCTCCGTTTCTGTCGCCAGTTTCTGTGTCGATGGTAAGTGCTTTATGAAGATATTCTTCAGCCTTGGCATATTCTTCGACAGATTGAAACACATTTCCTAGGCTTACGTAGCATGACGCTTCTCCCTTTCTGTCGCCAATTTCTGTGTTGATGGTAAGTGCTTTATGAAAATATTCTTCAGCCTTGGCATATTCTCCGACAGATTCAAACACATTTCCTAGGCTACCGTAGCATGTCGCTTCTCCGTTTCTGTCGCCAATTTCTGTCTTGATGGTAAGTGCTTTATGAAGATATTCTTCAGCCTTGGCATATTCTCCGACAGATTGAAACACATTTCCTAAGTTTAGGTAGCATGTCGCTTCTCCGTTTCTGTTGCTAATTTCTGTGCTGATGGTAAGTGCTTTATGAAGATATTCTTCAGCCTTGGCATATTCTCCGACAGATTTAAACACATTTCCTAGGTTACCGTAGCATGTCGCTTCTCCGTTTCTGTCGCCAATTTCTGTCTTGATGGTAAGTGCTTTATGAAGATATTCTTCAGCCTTGGCATATTCTCCGACAGATAGAAACACATTTCCTAGGTTTACGTAGCATGTCGCTTCTCCGTTTCTGTCGCCAATTTCTGTGTTGATGGTAAGTGCTTTATGAAGATATTCTTCAGCCTTGGCATATTCTCCGACAGATCGAAACACATTTCCTAGGTTTCCGTAGCATGTCGCTTCTCCGTTTCTGTCGCCAATTTCTGTCTTGATGGTAAGTGCTTTATGAAGATATTCTTCAGCCTTGGCATATTCTCCGACAGATTCAAACACATTTCCTAGGTTTCCGTAGCATGTCGCTTCTCCGTTTCTGTCGCCAATTTCTGTGTTGATGGTAAGTGCTTTATGAAGATATTCTTCAGCCTTGCCATATTCTCCGACAGATTGAAACACATTTCCTAGGTTTACGTAGCATGTCGCTTCTCCGTTTCTGTCGCCAATTTCTGTCCTGATGGTAAGTGCTTTATGAAAATATTCTTCAGCCTTGGCATATTCTCCGACAGATTGAAACACATTTCCTAGGATTCCGTAGCATGTCGCTTCTCCGTTTCTGTCGCCAATTTCTGTGTGGATGGTAAGTGCTTTATGAAGATATTCTTCAGCCTTGGGATATTCTCCGACATATAGAAACACATTTCCTAGGTTTCCGTAGCATGTCGCTTCTCCCTTTCTGTCGCCAATTTCTGTGTGGATGGTAAGTGCTTTATGAAGATATTCTTCAGCCTTGGCATATTCTCCGACAGATAGAAACACAGCTCCTAGGTTTCCGTAGCATTTCGCTTCTACGTTTCTGTTGCTAATTTCTGTGTTGATGGTAAGTGCTTTATGAAGATATTCTTCAGCCTTGGCATATTCTCCCACAGATAGAAACACAGCTCCTAGGTTTACGTAGCATGATGCTTCTCCGTCTTTGTCTTCGATTTCTTTGTAAACGCAGAGTGCAATTTTGAGGACTGCTTGTGCTTCCTGGTATTCACTTTTTTGGAAGTACAGTTGTGATAACATCAAGGCTGTGTTACCTTCTTTTTCTTTTCTCCTAAGTTTACGAAGTAGGACTAAAAGCTTTTTGCCAGATTCTATAGCTGGTGAAAGTTTCGTAATAGCAGCATTTCCATAAAACAGCCTCTTGTTCAGCGCTATACGCACTATTGTGGCAAGTTCATGTTCGTTTTCTAAGATTTTGTTGTTTAGTAGTGTTAAGCACTCGTTCCACAGCTCGATAGCCTGGACAACTCGTTTAGTGGTCCAAAGAAAATCGGCGGCAATCATGCCATGGTGAATAGCTTCTTGAACAGAGCCCATTTGCTGGGTCTTTTCTGAAACATAAACAGGTAAAAAAACAAGACCAGAATAATTAGCAAATAGTTCTACGGAAATAGAGTTAATCTTAAATAAAAAAATAAGCAAGCCAGTTAGAAACGTTAATAATAATAAGCTTTTGGCTTAAGAAATAGCTACGAAAACAATAAGATTTTCTTCAAAATGTAAAGCTTTTTCTTATACGTAACGACTCTGTTGTCTTGTCAGGTGTCATTTAAAATTCTAAATTAAGCTGATGCTATCGTAGCTGTGATTCCACGAAACATTCTGTTTCGGTTAAATGGACTTACCCAGGAATACAAGGTTACGAAAGATTTCGGTTACCCGGATCGTCAGAATAAAGCTACTCACATTTAAAAGCAGTTAACTTGTTGAAGTAAATGATCATGAGTTCTGTTTGTTGAAATCTAAGTCTATAAAACATGTATCTGCATGCAGTCTTGTATTTACAAGAAATCTTTTAGTTTTTAGGTTTCTTTGCATTTTTGAAAAAGGTTGTTTCTCTTGTAGAATTTTAAGTTAGGAACAACTATATTGGAAGAATTAAAAGAACGTCTAAAAGGTTGAAAGGCATGTGACAGTACATTAAAATTCCTAACATTGATAAGCTTGCATCATTTCATTAAAAATTCGATAGAGTTTATATTGTAATATTAAGTGGCAAACAATATGTTAGTAATTTAATTGATAAGTAAAGTTGGGAATCTCCTCTGAAAGGCTCAGCAGAGCTTGCTGAGATCTTCTGCTCATGTATAGCTACAAATACCAAATGTACATTATATTAGTTTTTACAATAATGCGCGAATAAAATAAAAATACATACATAATGATTTAAGACTATAAAGAAAACCTATCAGTAGAACGCAAATAATTATGTATAGGAATATATTACAATTAAGTTTAAGAAAGAGGGAACTTTCTATAGATAATTTGGTTTGAAAAGAGGAGGATATAAACTCGAACGTGGGAAGTCCACAAATTATTTTGAACGCACGAGGAGCTAAGCACTTGCCTTATTATATCTTGCATGAAGATCACATTCATCGTCGCTTGAGGGTCCTCGGACAGACTCAAGCATATTAAGGCATGGCCTGAGGCTAATTTGCATAAAATCTTATAATGGCCATAACTTTGTGAAAATTTATCAGAACCTTACAAAATTTGGCAACCTCGGATAAAACTGGTAGATATCTGTGTCACGTGACCACTCATTGTCGAGTCCAGGAAAGAAAAGAAAACTAAAAATGGGGTGGCGAAATGCCACACAGTATATATTGAATACAGTATTTATGTTATCGTATCATCATTTCTCGCTTGAATTTGGCCGGAATGGTTGACTCACGTTTTTATTTAAGTGGCTGTCCACCTAAGAGCGGTCCGGCGAGTTTGGGATCGCCAGTAAACCTTCCCTTTGTTTTTTGTGGGTGAAAAGGACTTAATGAGGAATGATTAAAATCGAACTAATTTTTTTCAAAATCCTTTTCTGGGCTTCGCTACAGCACAAAACTTCTTATTCCATGGCCGAAATTCGGTGATTTTAAAAGCCGCGCTTCTTCGTAACGGATAAATATCGCGAAATTCTACATAGTACAATGGATTTAGCTGCAGTTGGCTTGTCCTGTGACGGAATATGGAATAACTTGACGCAAAATTAAATTAAATTAATAACATCAAACACAAGCCCCTTGCGTGTTTTTTTTCCCTCTTGACAAATTCCTCCAAAGTAAAAGTTAAAATCTCCAAAGCGGTGCAAAAATCACAGGCAAAATGCACTTCACAGCAAAGATCTTACCTTATTCTGTTAGAAAATAAAGTCAAAGGTGCGGGTATCATTCTATGTCCAGGCCCGTAGCAAGCATAAAATGACTGGGGGGGGACTGAGCGAGTGGCCTACATTAACTCTCTCCCCCCCCCCGCCGCTTCGGTCCCTAGGCTAAAGCATACTTCTTGGTACATGTCAGATCACTACCTTTGTCTACAATACCTTTTGTTCTTGTCTCTAATTTTCCGTTGGTGTTGACTTTGACAAAATAGAGAACTTGTTTGGGATACCTTTCGCGGAAAATTTGCCGAACAATTGCTTTCGGGTTATTCTTTGATTCGGATTGTTTCTTCGACTACACCAGGTCTGTGTCACTAGTACATGGTTTGTGCGATCAGATGTTGGAATCGTCCGAGTTAAAATGATGCCCAAGAGGTTAAGAGCACTAAGTGGTGTGGTAAGAGGAGGGTGATGGGTCCTTTTCATGAGTATGCAGGCGTCTGTCGTCAAGCTTCGAATTTCCACTGAGTGTATTTTATTCATCTTCTTATGTGTTTGCGCCATCTGGTGAATCTCTACTCTTATGTGATAATGGTCAATTACACATACACATACCATTAATTGTTGAACTTTTTTGAAAAAATAGCTCATATGTCAGTGGTCTGAGCGTATGTATCTTTGTGGCTTTGTGGCTTTGTGTGTTTGAATGTGCGTTGCAGGGATCAATAAGGTTGAAGATACTATCAGTTGATGCTAGGAATCAATTAGATTTTGGCATTTAAACATCAGGGGCACCCATGCATCGACGGTTTCCTCCTAAATGCATTGAAAACACTTTTTAGGGTATCCAGAGTACTTTCAGATCTCAAGAAATACATTCTAAGCGGCGCTATAAAACTTGTATCTGTTCGGTCGTCCTAGGGCAACTTGAGTCTTTTCGAAATTACAAGGGCCTCCGTATTATTTTCCCGAAAATTTTAGATGCGATTTTAAGTTTTATGAAAGTGAGAATTTTTCTAATTCCTCTCTCCATCGCCTGTTTGAATCCGAAAATTTTAGGTTACCTTTTTCTACGAAAAAAAGGCTAACTTGGGTACTGAAATTCGAAAAATTATAATGTATAAAATCCTAGGGAATTTATTAGACATGTTACGAAAATTGTACATGAATAGAACTGTTATCTGGAAATTTTTAGCCTTCCCCAAGCTATAGAAAATTCTAGGCAAGTTTTGTTTCTTCGAAGAGGTATTTTACAGAAAACAGTCGTTGGGTGCCCCTGAAACATGACATTGCTAAAGGTCAAACAAGAGCACTTTGAGATCGCCATCTTGATTCTTCACCATTTTTTCGACTTTTATTACGGCTAAAAGTGTTTAGAAACATAACATTTAAATATCTCCATGATTAAAACACTCAGTACAGTGATGCAGCTCGGTTTAAGGGTTCCAGTATTTTCGTACATGTGGGTGCTGCTTCAAGATATTTCTGACCTAATTCCCGGCTATCGCGAACTGTAGACAACCCACGTATTTCATAATTTATATAAAAGATCATATATTTTTTCAAAGTTGTTTTAATGAAACAATAACTGATATTTAGATATGGACTTAAATTCGGAAGTACATGTGTGCAGCCCATGAATTGTTGTTTTAGAAGTTTAAAAGGCAGTTTATTTTTTTGTTTGAAAGCTGTACCGAGTAAGTTAATCCTGTAAAAAAGTTTTATTCTCTCGCTTACAAAGTTCAACAGACCTTCTTCGTTCCAGCAAAAAAAAACATGAATTAAGTGAACAACGTGATACATGCTTGCTGCTTAAGAGTCATTATAGTTATTGAAACGTACTTTATTCAGTAAAGATGTGTAACTTAACTAGAAACAATAGCGTTAGGGAATAAAACTTGGAAGAAGCTAGTCGACAAAATAATTAGGTATTGTTTTATTAACTGGAAAAACATGATATTAGTAGAAATATATTTCGGCGGTTTGATAATGTTATGGGAAGTAAATAAAAGTTAGGCTATCGACCTTAACGTTGCATGAAGCATGATTTAATTGCATATGTTGTAAAGCCGAGGTAATTTCTTAAAATCGTTTGAGCAAATTTTCCAGTAAACAATTTGCGTTTTTCCACGTACGAATTGTAAAAGGGACAAAGTCCAGCATCTTCACGTACAAATTGTGTGCATGAGTAATTTCTTATAATCCTGCTTACTGGATTACTATGTGATAACTCGAATTCTCTCACGTGTGAACCACAAAAGGGGCAAAGTACAACACTTTCACCTAAAAAACTGTAATAATAGCAATAACAGTAACTTTAACAAATGAAGACCTCTTTAGCTTTGTAACTAGTGCCTTAAGTTAAGGCTTATAACACTTTTAGAATCAAGTCGTCAGAGTTAAAGACTGTTTCATCTTAAAGTAGAATAACGATGCAACCAACGACACCAATGATGAAAATCGTAACATATCTTAGCTATTCGGTATTCAGCGATCTTATCTTAAGACACCATGAAGAAACCTTGAAACTTTTGAGTCTTCCCTTTGAGCAACGTTTGGTGAGTTGATAATCATAGAACTTTAACAATGTGTATATTTTGCACCAGATGTCCGAAGGAAAGACTAAGAAAAGTGAATCTGTATAGTATGAGGATCGACTCAGCTGTGTGCAGCGTTTCTCGTTTTCATTAATGTACAACAATACAAAGTTTAGCACAAAAAATAGTCTACATTAAGGATTAAAACAGTAGATTGATGATACGATTACACTAAAGCATTCAAAATAGCTTGTGCACGTTAAACGTGCCTATGTTAGAAAATAAAGGCTAACGTCTCCTCTTTGCGATATTATCAGTAGTATAGTAGAGATGAAATGAACCCCTTTTTGTGGAGAAATTGCATTCACTTGCGGAGGAATTTAGTAACGCTGATGACGTCTTTATCCCATGAGTAAAACGCCAAGGAATTTCATTGAGAAAAGGTCATGCGCTATGTTAGGTGACACAACCCGTTGGAAAGGTTTTCTGGTAATTTCTAGGTCGATGGAGGCCTGATGTTTTTTGTTTCTTGACTAAAAACTAAGAAAAGTATTCATTGATTGATACATGGTGTCACTGTGTCGTTACGTAATTATGTAAGTTCTACTGGCTGCCGCTTTCATTGTCCAACAAATTGTTCAAATCCTCAGGCTCATTGATTCTTGTCTCGTAAATCGTGCATA